GTGTCCTTTCTGGTTGAAATGACAAGCAACTGTTTTTTCTTTGTGATCCTGTCTAATGTCTGTTTTGTGGGCATTGATTCTTTGGCGAAGTGTCTGAGACGTTTGTCCAATGTACATAGCAGACGGACACTTTCGGCACATGATAGCATAGATTATATTTCTGGAGGCGCAGGAATATGTATTCTTGATTTTATAACTCACTTGGTTAGGCCCAATAATGGTGTCAGCAGAGTGAATATGTGGACAAAGCTGGCAACGCTGCTGCAGCCCAAGTAGCAGAGCTGGGGATGTGGCAGTCGAGGTAGTGGGCAGGGGCTAGAGATATGGCATCCACAATAGTGGGGCTGGAGAAACAGCAGCCTCAGTAGTGGGGCCGGGACAAACTGGGCTGCAGCAGTGTGGCTAGGGCCAGCAGTACGGATGGAATGGGATCTGGGGAGCTGGTAGCAGGGGACTTCCTCTGCTCCGGCAAATTCTCTCATTTGGGACTGATTAGGTCCCAAAGGTGCAGGAACGGGGAGGTCCAAACTGTACTCCGTTTCAAAGCTCTAATTATTATAGAGCAATTCAAGGTTTAGTTTTCAGCAAGACTCCCTGACAACACTAATTTATTTATATTAAAAAAATATTACTCATGTTTCTATAATCACAAAGAAACAAAGATTTCCAAAAAGGGACATAGAAATGCTATTTCACTGCTTCCAACTTTCTGCAAAGTCAGCAAATGGCTGGCCTGATACTTAATGTACTAACCTTGACATGATATATAGCTCATAAATACATAAAGTGTTTTTCTGTGGTACAAATTTATTGCATATTGAAAAAAATAAGGCTTTTTAAATAAAAAAAAAGCTTTAATAAATAAGATCACCCACACATATAAAAAGGCCAATATGTTCAACTTTAGGCACTCATTTTTAGGAGTCTATATCCATAAATAGGAACCTGGAAGGTGGCCTAATTTTCAGAAGTGCAAAGGACCCAGAAGACCCCAAAGTCAATGAAACCTGCCAACTGTTGACACCTTTTGAATTTTGAGTTCTATTGATACGTTCTCCTTGACTAACTTATGTGGCTGCAATCTGTGATAAAGAACTGGAAAATACTGCAGTATATTTTGAAGTCAGAACACTACATTTAACTTTTAAAATCAGCTTTTAGTACGTATTTCCTGGGCATACACAATTTCTGATTATTTTGTTCTAATGGATTTTTTTTAAAATGGGAAAGTAGTGTTCCATAGTTTCAGCAGCCTGTCCATTGGGAGCTCGGACCCACCGTGGACAAGGGCTGCTGCCACCCCTCATTGCTGTCTCTGTATCAGAGACAGCTGCATGAGATAACAGACAGCCATTCTGTGTGGAGAGCTGTTTTTTAAACTGGCTCTCCTCGCAGACCGGCTTCGCGAAAGAAGCCAGTTTAAATACAGAGGCAGCAGTCCTGGAAGTCTGGCCCTGCCCTGGGGACGACAGAATAGTCGACTTAATCACTAAGAGTTCATGTGGTTAGTTGCCTGTTCTATTACACGTATCTAACATCCCTCGTCCATAGCACTGAGCCTATGCATACTACACCGCCAAACAGATATTTTCATCATAACAATAAATCTTGGTACTTTACAGTTTTCTGTTTTCATGTCAATATTTACATCCTGTTCCCCATCCCTCAAAAAAAAAAAAAAGTTTAGAGATCTATTTGATTAAGGAAATGTACGTCCATGTTTAATTTGTGGACATTACAAACAGGAAGACAATAAATAAAGGAAAGAATATTCAATTATTTTGCTACATCTTACAACTGGAAAGGGGAAAGTAATTTATCACAAATGTTCGCTTTCGTGCAACATTAACGCCCAGTTCTACATTGAGAAGTGACTTTGAAAAAAAAAAAATCGTCAGATCCCACACGCATTGGATTGTCATGGCCCCACCCCTTCCGCCCGCGGCAGCCAAGGGCCATTTCAAAAATCTGAGACGTGGCCCCCGCTTCTAGAATTATTGCCCATCCCATAATAGACTAGTGGTTGTACCCACTCGCCCAAGCTGCACACACGTAGCCGAGAGCGTCACTTCATTTAAGAGAGGGAGTCAAACCCGGGGAGCCCTCCCGGGGGGAAATGCCGCGCTCTCCGGAGCACCCGGCTCGCCCGAGGAAAAGTCACTTTCGCGCTGTTTTTTCCCCGAACGTGGCTTTCTCGGAGCAGCCCGCAGGAGCCACTGCCGCGCCACT